TATTAAAAAATATTTATATTGAATTCATCATCTATAATGATTGCTTGAAAGCTTTCTTATTAATATCTGTGGAAACAGAAACATTGAATGATTTGAAGTTAAAAGATATTTTGGACATTATTAAAAACTCATCTTAAAAAAAAAGGTTAGGTATACTTTAACTAAATTATAATCGTAAACATCAATAATAATTATAAGATTTAATTTGTTATATTATTACGTTAGTGTTTCTAATTTATGCCTATGTATTAATATATTTTTAATTTTATTTTTAATTAGTATAGAAAAAGTTCCTTAAATCCTAATTCTTATAGAATGTGAAGGTAGAAACAGTATTAAGAAACATGTGATATTTTTTAAATTTTTGTTGAACCGTTAAATGTAGGACGTAGGTAAATAGGTTGCTTACAGGGAATAGTGGATCGAAACCTTGCTAGTCCCTGCGGCTACCTATATAACTTATAAGTCAGTTAGACTGTACGGATATAAATGGCTTAATATGCCTTATTTTAAATTTTAAATTTTAAAATTGGAATCTAGAGATAATGGTTATTCTTTTAATTTGATTATAGAGCGTAATGTATAATTAATACACTATACAGTGTCGAATTATTTTTTCGAGAGGAACCAGGGGCTGGTTCTGGAATCTTCCCAATTGGTTGGTACTTGGGTCAAGAAGGTATTTTTGCCACAGGCCTAATTTTTGGAATATTTTTAAGGGGTCCCCTTAAAGTTTTGATGTTTAATAATTAATAATATAACAGACTGTCACCATTATTGAGCTATTTCCAAACATAAGACTAAAATGTCCCGACTAAAACTTTATTATGTGTAACAAAAATTATTTTAGTTGCGTTAGCCATTTTATGTAATACGCTATAATGCGTATATAGTATATTATTGCGGCTCGATTTTCTACCGTAGGTGAAAGTGCAGAAGATATTCTTAGATGAAAACCATGAACATTTATAACGATTTAGGAATACGTTACATTTTTAGTTAATTTGGTAACACATTGCTAAGAAGTTGTTGAAAATGTAATGCAGTACAAGTCTTTGTTCATGGGGTTAACGAGTTTCTGAATTTGAATACCGAAGAAAATAAATGCCAGTCTGTTGCTTATAAATCAAATAATATCGTCAGTTATATATGCAGGTTTGATTAATATTGCTTTGACGTTTGACGTAAAACTTGAATCTAACTTTAATATGGAAGACGTGAGTATAGGTGAATTTGTGATATATTTATGGAGGTGCTAGATTTATGTCGGTCGAAATGACTCACGTACGGCTTCGCCCCCCTCACGAGTCACGATCATACTCTTTCATAATACTACCTAACTTACTGACCTATAATATATTTATTTAATATTTTACTAGTTCAAGACTTCAGTACACATTTATTTTAACAAAATATAATAAATATTTATAATAATATAATAATATAAATAAATTGGAACAGTTTGCTTCGGAATTCGGATTTATACTTGACTCCGTGCGTTCTATTTGTAGACGGGTTTTTCACTATACTATTGAATATTGATAGACGGTTCAGCGTGGCTTATTTGTTACCTACTTATCGTCTTATAATTTATATTATACACAACTGTAATAGTCTTCGTCGATTGTTAATAATATATCATTAATTCTTATTTAAACATTTTAAACCTATTACCCAGGTACAGTCGTATAGATATTAATAAATTAACTATTAATGTATTATTCTATAAATATTAAAGCTGGGACATTTTTGTCTATTTACGGACATTTGGCCACCCTTTTAATGAGACCCATATAATAATCATTCTTTAATTATCTAATAATTTTGAATGAATTTTTCGGTTTAAGAATCTGATGATAGTAGATTGCTCCAGTTTCCAACTCATATATAATATATATATATAATTGTTTCAAATTTCGACAAAATACATAATAATTTCGAAAATTGTTGGAGATTCATAAAAATTTTTTTTTTTTCTAAGATTTGAACATTTCATTCAAGGTTCCTCATAAACATACGCACAATTTCTTTATAGGTATTTAAAGTTCAAATTTTGATCAAATTTATCAAATTTAAAATTTAAAAATATTTTGTAGTTCAAAATTTATAAAACGTTAAGTTTTTGTGCCTAAGAATTGAAAATTTAAAACAAGGCTTAATGTTTTTCTTTAATCAAAAGATCTAAAAAATATATGAGCACAGTTTTTTTTTTAGTTTTTTTATGTGTAAATTTGGACGAAATTACCATATTAAACAAACCAAATTAATGGTTTAAGTTATTTTGTTGCAATTTAAAAATATTGTCCATGAGTACTTAAAACGTTTAAAGTACATTACTATATTTTATACACCTTATGACTTTTCAAATGTTTTTTTTTTTGGCAAAAATGAATTCAACCTACCGTATTACTAATGGCCAAAAGTAAATAAATTACTTTAATCACAATAATACCATCAAAATGTGTCCTAAATAATATCAAATATTTGATCTGACAGAATTCAGATGTGAACTTCGTTATTGACATCGCTCAGACTCGTTTATCGTATACAATAATTTTTGTATCATTGAATTCAAATTTATAGCCGTCTATTACATTAACCCACTTGTAACCTGCACAGCAGAGCGACATCCACCACCCGCTTTTTTTTTTGCTCCTCAAAATACGTTTGCCCGTGGGCTCTCACGGTCTCCTTTCAATTGTTTTTTTCATTAATTTAATTCGTTGATTTTTGTCTAAATTTTTAAACCATGACGCGATATCTCAGGGACCTCTGGCTAATGAATTAATTATTGTGAATTTTTTTATCGGAGATTGTATTGAGTGCGGTCTTCAGCGCATGTGGCATGTACCTACTATATAAACCATTTTATCTCAATTTTGATTGTACCTCTTAAAATAACTCCTTCCGTGTACTCGTGTTCTCCTTTTAATTTTTTTTTTAAATTTAACTACCTAGTTGATTTTTTTAAACTTTGACCAGCTCTTTCATGAATACCTCAGATTAATTGTTTGATAATAAGCTTATTATTTAATTTATTACTATAGTTTTAAGTATTTGTTCAACTGGATTTAAATAGTTTTACTACTGTATTGTAATAGTAATTCCTTAATAATGTATTTAAAATCTAAAATTAGTCCAAACAAGCAATAAACTATATTATGTGAAGTTGGTATAGTGTGTTACTAATTTTAATAGTATTTTGGAATTAATGCCATAAGTTGTTGAACATTTTGTTTTAATTTAAAAAAATTTCATACAGTTAACCCCCCATTGTCTTATCGATTTTTCGTTGCTTTCAGATATTCTTGTATTTGACTGTGTACCAGGTACCTATAGTATAATATAGTGCATCGTACATGCGATCGGATACATGTATCATACATGCAACATGCATCAGTATATACTCCGTTAGAAGAGCGAATGTGGTTACTTCGCACATACAAATGGAGCTGAGCAGTTTGAATTTAGGTGGTTATGTGGTGAGGTAAAACTAATTTTGGATTGTGCTCAACCTCTTTCGGTTTCAAACGAAGGATAATTTCAATGAGCTAAAATGTAGTTTCTCGAGATTGAACACTTCGGTAATGTACCTATTTTGCCTATACAATTCGCCGGGCATCACATTTGTTTTGTGCGAATAATTGAAAAACATTGACAAAAACATTAACTAGCTATCCCAGAGATAGTACTTTAGAGATTCATGTACCCAGTACCTACTATAGAATATTAACTAATTTTTTTTTTACTTCTTGAAATGTACTTCTTGCCTGTGGATGTCCAACTTCTCTTTTCAATTTTTTTCTCGTGATTCAATCCCTATTTTGTATTCATTAATTTAATCTAGTTGATTCTTTTATAAATGTGTTTCAACATTGAGCAGCTATCCCTGGGATTACCTACTTCGAATATTTATGTACTTACTATATCTATCTACTATCTACAATCTATATAACTATATGTATAAATATATATACAATGTGTTCCGCCGTTCCGGGGCGAAGACTTCGCCGCGAAGTGACCCGTCGCCGTCATACGAAAGTATACCTAAAATTATGAAGAAATAACTTTTAAAGTGGGGGTATAACTCTTTAAATTTTTTATAAGTCGTAAGAAATTTAAGGTTTTTTTAAACCAAACCTAGGTACCACGGATTTTTTTATGTTTCTCCGAAACTTTTCAACACCTTAATATAATTTTTATTTTATAGCTGTTTAATTATCCTATCAACCAACAAACGCAATCAAACCAGAATTAGCATAATAATTATTATTAAATTGAAAAAAGGAAACATTTTTTATCCAAAGAAGGAATTTTTAAAAATAAATCTCGTATCACTCAAAATAGTCAATATCTGGTATGGGTCATTTTGTTGTGTATTATTCTACTGAATAATGCCTAGAGTACCTCATAAGTTTGGTTTTCATATCTTTCATAATCGCAGAGTTATACGCAGCTGAACATTACAGGTCCTTTGTGATTGTAATTATTGGTAATTTATAATTTTATTACTAATTCTTTAGTACTAATTTCTACTAGTTAATGCATATTAATTATTTTTACTACTGTAATTTATGATCAGTAAGATGTAGGTATCACTTGCGACCAATTATAAATAAATAATAAGTTTTGATAATATAATACATATTAATAATTTTTATTGAACTTTGAGTATTATTTATTTAGTCATTAAAACTACATTGTATCATCCACATTGAATATAATATTATTAAAAAATTTCTACAGAGATCATACTACAGTCACAATGTTGCTGGTAGAAGACATACAACAATATAGGTAGCCCAAATTATCTATGGTATTAGTTGTACAATATGATTTTTTAACAGTTAAAAGAATTGATCCAAGTATTGAATCATCACCATAATTTCTTATCAGTTTCCAGAATCAAATTGAAAGTACATTTTTTCTTGAGACTTAACTTTGGTTTTCTAATTGTTGGCGAGGAAAACTGCCCCCTCAGCTCATTTAAAAACACTAAATTAATTTTACATACAAAAAAAATTATTTTTTTATTTTTTTATTTTATTTATACATTATATACAGTAAACAATAAAAAAAATTAATTTGATGTGTTCTTGTCTTCTTAATGGATTAATCCTGAAATCATAGGAAAACATTTGTTGTTAATAATAATATAACTTAAAGTGCCTTTTTTTACAATCAATTTGGTACCAACCTAAATAATCGTCCATCAATGTACCGATAGCAAACTGTAAAACAAATGTTTCATAATTCAAGACATTTCATTTTAAATATATTATACTAAGACGTTATAAAGTTTTAATGGATTTTATTCATAACCTTCATCCATCCGACTATCCATTTCCCAACAATATTTTTTTTATGGATCGTTCTATATGTGTAACTTTTTATTTAACATTTTGTTACAAGCTGAATCTTAATTAATACACTAAAATAATTAATTCATAAATAAATGAGTATTCTATCTAAATTATGATCAATGAACCCTAGCAAACTAGTAACCTAATCTAGGTAAAAATGTCAGGGGTATAGTCGTCCAAAATAAACTGTCTTTGGTAAAATTATAATGAATCAAAAAAAGGACAAATATACAGACGAAGTAGATTATTACACACACTAGTATTGATAACACTGATTAATATTAAAAAATTAACAGTTCTTATTTGCACATTTATAATTCTACAATACAATACAGGACTATTATTATTTTTTTCTTTATTAAACTGATCATTATCAAATTCTAACTGTTATCATATTTATTTATCCCTAGTAAATAAAAGGTCATTAACCAGTAATCAATTTTTTTTTAGACGCATTGTATTAAATAAACTAATCTATTTTAAAATACATACTATTCCAGATGCATCAACACGTGTTCCAACAATTTTTAATCTTATTGTGTCTTCTGGTTGTATTGCTATATTCTAATAACAAAAATAAATAATATAGTACTATATGATACAAGAAAAACAAAAATAAATAATTATTTTCTACATAGGAAATATGGGGCTTAATACTTTTGTAAATTTTACATATAATTTATTTATTTGCTTATCAATATGAAAACAGATTTAGTCATTTCAAAATAATTACAAACAAAATAAAATTAAATAACATGTAAGACAAACAAGAAAACAACTTCCGAAGAGGAATAACAAAATTGACATTGCTGAATATGCAATAATACTGGAGCATCTACATCAAAATTTAATACATTTTGACAATAAACTAGAGTAAATACAATTAATCCTTCTATCATCTTAAGATTTTCAATTGAGGAAATGAAGAATAGGTTACAGGAATAATAATGTGGAATACATTCAAATTTTAAAAGAAGTGCACAAAAAATGAGAAACACACTCAAGCTGAGACTCATCAGTTAAGACTTTGTAAGTAATAGTCAGTGGTAGAATGAACTTTTTATTTCTATGAAGTATATATTTAAAATAAATACCCAACACTAAGTGGATGGCTTACCCCCATAACAACTAAACTCAATTTATAAAAGTACATAAATTAGAAAAGAGTATCAATAAAATGCACACCTACACAAATTAAGCGGTTGCTTTAGAAAAATAGCTATTCACTACTTCACACCATACTCCGAAAAAGAAATAAAAAATTAAAAGAATTAATAGAGAAAGACAACTTAAAATTAATGCTAACACAATTAACAAACAAAGCTCTACAAGAGTTTTGAATGACAAATTTACAATGTGTAGACGGAAATACAATTTATTGTCAAATACAAAATCTAAATACTATCCCATTTTTAGCTCAATAGTACATTTACTACTAGCAATATCTCTCGTAAAAATTCCAAAAAAAGTATCTTGATTTAGCCGATTAGGTAAAACATATGGTCCAATAACTAAATCATTTATCATTCCAGCCCAAATATAAATTGAAAATTGATGTTGGAATGTTGCTGGCCATTGAACATGGGGATTTTCAACCGCCCAGACATGTGCATTACGATAATTAGTTATACTTGTTCTGGTACACGTGGCTTCATCCGTTCACAAAATATGTATCAAAAAATCCAATTCTTCAGTGTTTGCGAAGGAGCCACATACAAAAAACTGATCTTGCTGCGCCATCCCCAAATATTAAATTGTGAGTTCGACAAAAATGATATGGATCTAAATCAACTATCCCAATTAATATAAATTAACCCCGTCAATAAAGTTATCAAAAACTATATGATTACAAATTCTTATATAAGTCATAATATCACATTTTAATATACATTATATTCAAAGAAAGGCCCAACTTATCTGCCCGTTGAGTCATTGAATTGATATCTTCCTGGAGATGCAAACAATAAGCAATATAAATCACTTTAAAAATAAATTTATATTGTCAGCAAAAATAAGAAGCAGACAGTTACTCAAGACTTCTGGAAGACCATTTACAAAGAAAGCAAGTAAAAGCGGTATCAAATGCCTACTTTAAGAAACATAGAAGTAATCAGATTGCAGTATTGCACACCACAAATTGGTGGTTTTCTCACAACTATTTTTAAGAAAGAGTGTACATTTTATGTTTTTTAATAATATAAACAGTATTATGAGTTATTATGTATAAATCAAGTATATGTTACATACTTCTTCTTTCGATTTATAACATGGAGGTGAAGTATTCGGACAAAATTGCAGCTCTGATGGTATGGACTGTAAAAAATTAGTAAAAGTAGGTTTTAATTAAAATTAATTCAGCATTTTAAAACAAAAGATATCTATGATAATCATTAAATAATAATGATACAAAAGTTAAATAAGTCAATTATTTTATTTGACTTATGAGATATAGTCAGTTACTATACACATATGAATAAATCAAAACACTTTTGTATAATATTAATTAATTTAAAGTAGTAATATAAAACTTACATGATGAGATATAAAACAGGAAAGTGGTCCAATTTCTGCAAACATTCCTACTTTGTTAAGTTGAGTAACTACAGCTTCCAAAACTTCGCCTTTGAAAGGTCGGAAAACAATAGCTTTATATTTCACGGTGTATACAACAAATCCTTGACCAGGCAGAATTAATCCGCAACCAATATTGTCAATATGGGTAACAGCAATTACAAATCCATACCTTGAAAGCATAGAATTTGACATAAAAAATATAATTATAAATATATTTCAATTCAGTACTTATAACTTATAAGATTAAATAAATGGGCTATTTTATACCTATTGCCTCATCTGATATTATAAAAAATATATCTAGTCCTGTTGTCATAGTACAAATCATCACTAGAGCACCTTATCCACTTATTAACTTTCAAACATAAGAAATGTCATTGATTCTTAACACAAAAATCCAGTCAACATTTAGAAAATTATATGATATTAGAAGTGTCAAGTATTCAAGTGTGACAATTTTATAAATGTATTTAGTTCTTAAGTTTGGTGCATTTATTTATTTTATATCACAATAAAAGATCAGTTTAAAAAATTACTCACTTTCCAGTACACGTGCCTTCGACTTCACGATACAACTTTTGTTTTACTGTGTCTAATAACTGTGGACCGAAGTACCGAGGATGAAGCAGTACATCGTGTTCCAGTGCAATCTAAATAAAAATATACAAACAATATTATAGTTATTCAAACGTATACTCATTGTGTTTTGTGAACTTACATGATAGAACATTTTTTTGTAGTGGCTATTTACACGTCTGGCGCAAAACTATCATAAATATTAAATAATATACAATTTCCAATTATGAAATAATAAGATAGTTATAAATTGGTTTAACGTCAAAACTAAAATTAAAACCGGCGCACCGCTCGGTAAATTGAAATCGTAATTCGTAATGTGTAAACCCAACTAAACCGTAAACAATAAAAAAAAACACTGCCGGAGCGGCTTATCAACTAGAGTTAAGAAAATCTGGTTTTTGTTTACAACATCTTTGAACACAATTAATTTTGAGTTTTAAACAGCATAAGATAGTACTATCTTAAATCGTGGTTCAGACTGATAAATGATAATTAATATTTAATTTTCCAAATAATTTTAAATAATAAAAAGTATTTGCCATATATTTTAATATTTTAATCTTAATAATGTTATTCCTGTAAATCCTGATTCGTGAATTCGTAGTTAATGTTGAAATAGTATAAATTAAAATTATCTTACATCTAAATCAAGTTTTATAATATATACCTGCGGTATATAATTAAATCATCCATCCATTCATAATTTAAAATATAGTTCAATATATTATGATACATCGTACAATTTTTGCAATTTAAACCAAATCAACTAACTATTCTTTATTAAAAATTATATTGCATATTGACTACCATTATCAATAATGAACCCTATTCAAATATCAAATATGAGGCAAAAAACAAGTATACTTGACAAGTCTATAAGCAAAGGTAAAGGGGAAATCAACATGAACTGTTTCGCATTGATGTTTTCTGAACTGGTACAGTACTGTCAGGGGAAGGCACATACTGTAAATGAGTTACAAATGAGGTAGGTACTTACAGATTTAAGTTAAATTGTATCTTTCGGTTCACAAATTAAATCATTTTTTTTTTAGATTGTCCGACTTGGGACAAGAAGTTGGTACAAAATTGATTGATTTACATTTCTTACGTGAAAAAAACAGCAAACGTGAGATAAAACTGTTAAATATGCTGTTGTTTATTAAATCTACATTTTGGAAAGTATGATGGCTAAGTTTTTAATATTTTCTCCATTCTTTCCTTGAATTGAAAAATATGTATGAACAATTCAAATTTACAAAGATTTTTTGTACCTATGCTATTAATGAAAATAAGGAGGGGCGGGTTGAAATATATTTTTTTCATTGAAATGGTACACACTATATAATGATGTTCTTGCAATTCAAGTATTGATTTAAGTTAGTTATTTGAAGCAATTAGAAAACACAATTATTAAAATTTCAGAGTTTCTTTGGTCGTGAAGCTGACAAATTGGAACACTCAAATGATGATGATTCTACTTATTATATAATTGAAAAAGAACCATTAGTGAATAAATTTATTTCAGTTCCTAAAGATAAAGGTAATTTGAACTGTGCTGTGTTTGTTGGTGGCATAATTGAAGGAATACTAAATTCATCGGGCTTTGTAAGTACCTATTATTTATACTTACTGTTAATTTTATTTATTTGATGAGATACTAAAAACAGTTGGTTAATTAAATTTATTCAGTTAGCTAATCTTGAGATACCTATCATTTAAATAAATTTATAAAATATTTATGTACTTACAAACATGAACCATTTGGATAAATAATAATATTTTGTTTTCTGAAATTGTTATTCCTTATTCATTACTTCTATGTTTTTTGCTTTGAATGGATTTTATTATACTTATTTCGTCCTCAAAGGTTTCACTCTATATTGCAAGGGTATAAATTATTTTTTATTGTTTATCTCTTATCTTTATACAGACCAAAAAGTTGGGAAACACGAAACATATCACCCACACCCTATCGTAATAAGTTAACACATTTGAACTACCTATATCTACCTTATTTGTTTTAGACACCTGCTGATGTGACATTCTCTTAAAAATAATTGTTCGCTTCTTTTCAGTATTATTTAAAAAATTCTTACCTTCATCGTATAATAGTAAATTGGTATTCTTTAGCATAATATCGGTCTTAGGTTCAAATGTTCGATAACAACACAGGTAAACAGATTCTTCTACCATAAACATTGTCCCCCTTAAAATTATGAACATAATGCAGTGATAAAATATGTTAAAAAGTTATTATCTTCTTACATCATGTTTGTAATTGTACATTCTAAATATAATAATAAAACTGATTACAGACACAACATAGAATCATCTTGTTTTATTCATAGTTATTTTTATATATTCATATCAGGTTCTTGTTAACAAAATGTCAAAACATGTATGTTATTTTAGTTCTTGATCAAATAACTATTCTTCTATTTATATTTTGTTATTTTATAGAATGCTAAAGTCACTGCACATTGGCACAAAGGTACTACATATATGGTAAAATTTGAAGACCATGTTATAACAAGAGACAAACAAATGGATGAACGTTAATTTAATTAAATCATAGATCTATTTCTGTTTTGCTGTTATCCGTACGGTGTATATAAATTTGTTGTAAATTAAACATTCTCTTCCAAGTAAACTGAATACAATATAAACATTCAAGCTAAATAAAGAACATTGCAGTATCTTTATTTTATATGATTCCTTAATTATAATTCTTTTTATATGAAATTAATCTTAAATAATAATCAAAACATATAACCTAAATCTAAGAAGCATCTCTAAAATTAATTAAAAATTGTATTCAAGACGAAGAACTTGGTTTTTCTGCTTTTGGGCTGCGCAGTTTGTATAATAGATATCCAACAGCAATGGTTCCATAGGTCGCACATACAATCTGTAACAAAAATAAAAAGGTCTTGGTTTACTTTTTATAATTTCAAAATGTTATTACATCATAAACATATTGACTAATCACAATGATGTACCCCACTACCCTATACTCAGAAAAGTTATGTTGATTATGGAGGAATGGGAGGGTAAATGCAAAATTATGGAAGTTTGTTTAGATATATAAATAGATTATTATTAGTATTATGTATATCCATGGATAGTTATCCAATAAAAGATTTTATGTGAATAACTTATAGTAACAAGTTTCAAACAAAATCAAAATTCAAAATATAATTGTAAATAATTTTAAAAAATTGTACAGGTGTACTTTTCTCACAAAATACTAAAATAGTCCAAGATATTATGTTAAAGAAACTAAGTACTCAAATAAAGCAACAAAACACTCCCCGGTACATTCTTGCATTTAAAGAATTGTTATCATTGTTATTTGTTCACTTCCCTCAAGCTGCATACACTCAATGAAGACATACAGAAACATAATCAGGACTCCACGTTTTAGTATTAAATTATTAAAATTTAGTTAATTAAACATAACCTAATGTTCTTAACAAATATTTTGTTATTAAAATAACATTTTTACTTTACACTTTACTCTAAATAAATGAACAACAAATTATCCTAGGTTCTCTTAAAACATATAATGAAGTTGATACAGATAATTCCAATTAAATAAAAAAATTAACTTCTTCATTTATTAATTTATTATTAAAAAAAATATATATGCTATAATAATATTTAGAGCTTTGGATATCATGGTAAAATATACAAGTTACTGTGATAATGACAACTAATTAGTTTTAAAGTATATTAATTAGAGTTAACATACATTAAAACAACAATAATATCATAAAACTATTATAACTGTTTAAATCAGCGGTTCTCAACCTTTTTATATTTGTGTACCACCTGCATAGTTGGAACATTTTCATGTAAAACTCAACCAAATAATCATTTCTTTTGCTTATCAAAAATGTATTCACTACTGTACATTTACAGAATTTTATTTTATTAAAAGCTACAAAATTATGAAAAATAAGTATTTTAAGCTCAAAATTAAATGAAATACCTATGGACAATTTTTTTTTATATTATTCTTAATATTAAATAAGCCAAATAATATTTAATGTGAATAATGATCCAGTCCATTCCCATTATTTATAGAGGGAGGTACTCTTTGTATACCACAAGTTGAGAAGGCTGTCTTAAATAACAAAATAACATCAATACACATAACATAATATATAAATATATTGTTATTAAATGATTGGTTATGATTTTAATGTGTTACAGAAGTAGCAACATTGATTTATTACCTACTCTTAACCAAACCAAGAAGTCATTGGTATATGACTATTGGTCACTGTTATATTAATCTTAATTGATTAACATCTTCTTGTGGGGAATAATGTCGCATTTACAATTTACAGAACAGTAGACACTGAATTATTTTTAATTTATACTACAAAATGATGCCCACCATCAATATTAAACAGTAAAATTCAAGTTCTGTTCCTTACCTTTATCTAACATTTTAAACTAATTACTTTATCAAACAAATGAAGATAATTATAGTCATAAGTAAATAATTTCAATGTAGACTTGCAGGAATGCCAATATTCAAATATTTATCATTGCCATAATAAAGTTTAATTTATACCTCATACAAATATACTATTTGCCAAATATTTCTACTATAAAATTAGCTACCTTAAAAATCAATGAACCTTTTTTTTTCACTGTATTCTTATCAAAACACAATATATTTTTTATTGAAAAACTAAATACTTGTTATATTACCGTATTATCATTAAAAAAATACCATATGAAAATAATTAATAAAACCACTTCTAAAACGTGTGTCAAAAATTGTGCAGTTGGATACTTGGATCCATTATACCAAAATAGCAGTATAGAATTTCTTTAGAAAGATCAACCCATGACCTTGAATTGTCATTGAGTTGTTTACAAAAATTATAACTAATTTAATTAGTACTTACGTTAACCCGTCCCTTGGTCGTAAGAGTGTTGAAGTATTTGCCGACACCGGTCAATTTTGCGATTTCGGCTGGGTCTCCTTCTTCATGTGCCATTCTGAAACGAGCAAGTGCCAATAACGAAAAATTAACATCAAAAGAAATCGGAAGTTCAGAAATGGAAAATTAATCACGAGGGAGGATTGGTGGATGTTTTATTGACAAGACATGCAAATATAGCGAATTATTTTTAATATTTAAGTGTACTTACTTTTCTTAGTGGATTACAAACCGTACGAACAAAAAGGATTACAGAATTTGATTTACAAAACAGTAAAACACACACGAGAACTGGGAGTACTTTTTGTAGTCGATTTCCTTATCAACATAAAATATTGCGACGAGTGAAGTAAAGTCAGCCGCTAAGGTGATTGGTACTGCGGCGTGTGGAGGGGACGACCGGGACCAGAAAAATGGTGGATCGACGAGATAACGTCAAATCATATGCGTACAGTGCAAGCAACTTATTCTTGGTCTTAAAACTAACAGTGCTAGTACGTGCTAGGACTAAATAATCTGTAATCTTTAAAATATCTTCAAAAATAGAGGGTACTGAATACTGGATAGGAAGGTACTAAGGTCCTACCTACGTCCTACACGTTTTTGAATCTTCATTATACTGTTATAGGTGTGCATTGTGAATATTAACTAACTTGAAACTCATGTCGATGTCTTATAATAAACTATGAAGTTATATTTTAAAATGTCGAACCTTAGCCTTTAATAGTAATCAGTAATAACTAATCACAAATTCACACTAAATAAATACCCATATGGCTATATATTATAATAACTAGCTGAATAATCCGGCTTCGCCTGTGTGCCGGTTTTTGTGTTACCTTTACCTGCCTATAAGATTTGATTTTATCAGTTTTTATGCTACAGGTTGCTTTTAGATGTATTGATCCTAGCTCGCTAGGTTGCCCGTGTATTTTAAAAACCAGAAATTGGTAAAAAATTAGTATATTTTGGTATTTCGAAGACAAATTATAGACGATTCTAATCGGAGAAATGTTTAAAAAAAAGGGGGCCTACAGAATTATAACTTACTATATAGATTTTTGGTTAAAAAAAAGGTTTTGCATATTATTTATGACTATTATTATTATACTTAACAACACTATTCTTATTGTTACTAAAATTTGTATTATTATTTATTAGATCACCTTATTTTATTAAAATAGAAGTTTCTAGGAACTCTTTTAAAAATAATTAAGTTTTACAATGTCGTTGTAACATTATTAATTATTATATACATTATGGTGTTAAAAAACTCATCAATTGACATATTGTATTCATCTCAATTCTCCTCTACATAAATAGTATTTTTAGTATCGCATTTTGGGGCTAACGTAACCTAGCTAACTCTAGAACATACGACGCAGAACTGTCCATGTGAAAACCATTCTTCCTTCAAGTCAATGCCAGCCGTGCTCAATATTATTGTCCTTCAGACTTGTTAATAGTTATAACAAAACAAACTTTGGGAGGGAACTGTGGTATTAACTTAAATGTATTTGATACTTGTTCGCAAGTGGTGAGTGTCGTCGACCGTCGTACAAAATATGAACTATGAAAGCTTGGTACGTGTGCTGTGCGAGCGAACGACAGCATGCCTATATACCTACCCCTAAAATGCCTGTATGCTTCGTCGATTGTGGCAAGCGCGATACCTTATCTTAATCAGTAATTGTTATATTTTCTTTCAATTTATTAAGGTATGAATATCAATGATGGTGTACAAAGTATACATAATGACATAATGTTAAAATAATGCGCATTTGCTACAAAGTTTACTGGCATACCCACAAACACTACAGAGTACAGAATCACTTATGACACGTGCCACCTTGATCATTTTAAAATCGAAATATAATTTCAGAGACTGATCCAGTGGGGGCCTAGAGGCCCATGCCTCTCCCTAGAAATATTGTTTCCCAAATTATTTTATTAACTGTAGTTACAGATCCTGATATAACTATATTTCAAATTACATGTATGTCTGATATTATAATATATTTTTTTTCTTTTTTTTTTTTATAGCTTTTATTTAAAAATCTAGCTCAACAATTATGATACATAATATACATAATATATTATTGTACGTATCATTCTGGGGGGCACAAAATAAGTAGGACAGTGATTGAAATGTTGTAATTTTAAATTGACAAAAAATTGTGCTCTTCCCCCCCCCCACCCCCAGATCTTTGCTCTGGATCCAAACCTTAGTCATTTTATATATAAAGATAAATATTATAAAAAAATTTATAAAATTAATGGCCTCTACTTCTGAGTTGTTTGAAGTTGTTTGAATATTATTTCATATGCAATCACGAAAATCTCAATCCTATATGATAAATTATAACCCTTGATAGTTTCCTACTCATATAGAATATTAATTATTTGGACAATTAGGTAGTAAATTATTATATTTATATATGTATACGTTCTAATAATATAACACCATAAACAATTAACAACTTAACCATTTCATTGCAGACTGCTGAAGTGCTGAAGCATAAATATCTGTACGACCGTAGTACCTACTGAAGTCATTTTCTTTTATAATAGTAGTCCCAAATTCCCAATCTATGGACAATATGGAAATATGGACTGTTATACCTAATAAATATGAATTAGAAATACAAGTATAAAACGTCCGGTCTTCTGGACTTGGGACGATAGCAGGAAGTATAAAATGTCCGTGATTCAAATTGGGGTACCTACATTGTCCAAATTAAAAAACTACGAACCACGATTTCGTACAAAATAAAATCTTTACAAAAATTTAGGTTGAAGGGGGGAAGGATCACAACCCCTAACCCCGAAATTTGCAACGGGCTAACGGGCCTAAGTGCTTCATAGATGCAATGGACTACTTTGAGAATGCCTCTAATATCGCTGTAGTTACCATGTTAGTGTGTTACCATTTTCCCACTTTTTTATTAATGTCTGAATGTACCTTCTTGGTTGTACGATAATAAAAAAAAAATCTATAAATAGATATAGCCGTGATATCCATGATTGTAGACGTGTACATTATAATATTTGATAATAATTATGTAACCTATGACCACACTGGTTACTGGTAAGTCGTAATTCACTGACGTGTTTCCGTTGCCCGACAACGACAGTAAAGGTCCGTGTGCCTCATAGATTATAAACATAAATGATAACCGTGCTCAGTCCGCGTTGATAACGCCGATCGTGGCTGTTGTTGTTCCATTTGGGTACGATCCTGATTTTCGAATTTATCGACAACAAGTAACGGCAACACGATTATTTGGTGCTGCGAAACAGAGAACACCAAACGATCGCTGAAAACAAAGACATTACTCTCCGGACAATGATCGACGACGGACGTGCTACGACGTTACGCCGGTTGCCAAACAATAAAAGCTCATCAATCACCGGAAGTTAAGTTCACTGGCTCACTAGTGAGCAATAGAGGTCAGCGGTGGTGTGTCTTTCTGACCGATAACCATCAGCTCCGATGAGAAGATGTCGTCCCGCAGTGCTAACTGTTTGTTCATGTTGGTGGTCAACGTTTGTCTGTACATGAGCGTTGTGTGTTTCTTCTCGTCATCCAGTACGATTGTCAATAGTCGCATCGACAACAGTTGGCTCAATGAGGTGAGTTGTGCCCTGCACACTAGCCAAGTAACACTATAACCACAACACCCTTCTCAGAGAGTACATGTGAAAAATTAAATATTCCCTATAAGTTGCTCTCTTCCCCAATATGTTCTATGCAACTTGCAAAAGAGGAACCCGTTTTTTTTTCAAATTATATTTCAATTTTTAATTTATTAGGTACAAGTTTTTTTGTTTACTTCTTAGATATCTATTACCTATTCTTGTTTCATTGGGCTTTGTTCTGTACTGATACTATATATAATAAGTAGGTCATGCTTTATATCAAGTTTGTAATATATTGTATTCCAACATAACATATTATTGAATTTGATCAAAGGACAGTGTCTGTGTTGTCTCTTTTCAAATGATAATTCAGTATTTAATAGTTTTCTGTCATAAAAAACTATGAACTAATTTAAAATGCTTGAAATGTGTCCTAGTTAAAATATGCATACATACTGGAGAAAGTTATTAGTATGTAAACTGTGAAGTCAAAATTAGATACATTTAATGACTCATTTATTAGCCATTCTTACAATATTTTAATATTTATGAATAACATTTTTGAATTATATTCAAGCAATAGTAGGTATATTTTATAATTAGTATATTAAATGATAAGACATATTTACTCATATTTTTAAAATATATTTTTCTGAGAGATTTGGCCTATATTTTAAATCACACCATCAAAATATAAAGTTACTTAAATAGGAATAGACTAGCTTGCTCTAATTACTGAAGCATACCTACAATCATATTATGCATATTAAAGTTTAAGTTACTCATAAGTTGTTGAGTTTTTAAATGTAAATTATTAATAGTTTTATTCTTGATATTTGTTTTTTTCAATTGTTTGATTGACAAGTGTGTTTTTATTAGTTTTGATACTTTTATTATTTCATAATTATATTATCACGGTTTCATTATTTTTACAAAATATATGATACAGGTGTGTATACACTTGCAAGTTTTGAAAATTCATAATGATTATTAATAATTGTTATTTATATTAATTAATTAACCTGCTATTAATTGCGTCATAGTCAAAATGACCGGACTCTATTACATTTTTAATAACACATATACATTTTACTTTTCAATCATTGATACTCAATATATCTTTTAACAATAATACTATAACATTCTAAAAACATTTAATCAAATTGTATATATAGATTAAACTGATTAAAGGGTTATACTAAGATAAAAGTGGAATTTTATTATTTATTCATAATATTCTATGACCTACCCTGTAAATTTAAATTAATTTTGTACAGTCCTATTTTTTTCAATATTACCCATTTGGTGTTTAAGTAAGTAACTTTCTATAGTTACCTAATAGTTTTCATTTTTTTGTCATTCTATGCGGTATTAATTTGTTTTAATAAAATTATTTAGAAATTTAGAATGCATAAAACAACATTTATTATTCTTAAAAACTGTAACGCTGTCGAAAAGATTGTGATGTGACTAATGATTTAATATACACTGGGTTAAAATCATGTTTGTGAACCATACAATTAAATATAAGTCATTACATTTTGATAGTGAAATGACAATTTTCTTAGTTTATTTACTAAATTTCTGATGGACAGATTAGATCAGTGGGAGCTAGTCTGTGTTTTTTATAACACGTGAAAAGTGGTTTACACCCATATTTGTTATCAAGTCCTTAGAGAGGTAACTCCCTGAAAAAAATGATGGCCATGAGGCATCTTTTTTTCTCG